TCAGTGAGAAAGTGCATGCACTTGTTGCCAGTACTCTGAAGTGGAGTAGGTATTATGAGGATGTGTGTTCAGTGGCACTGGGGACTGCTTCCATTTGCTTGAAATAGTGCCTCTCCATCCCAGTGGCCTTGGCCACTCTGACCACAGAGCTCTGCTTTAGCTGTATTGTGCACAGGCTACATCCTGACAGTTTTTCTACCTGGTCTTGGAAAATGTGACTTTTAAAACCACAATGACATGCTAAAGGAGTTTATAGCCTTTGTGATATAGGATTCCACACTACCCAAATCTATAAGAAGCATGTCATAAATTTTTAAGCCCTGGTGAAAACAGAGAAAAAAAGAGGGAAGAATTTCACTAAGAATACACAAGCTCTGAGGGCAGTGTAAGATACATTTATAACTAATTTAGGAAGAATGACCTATTTTAAAACTAGATGACTGGTTTTGATTCTGTCTGTTTGCTGTTTGGAGGGGCAAATATGAACAATAGGATAAAGATTCAGCTCCTGGGGCTCTGGGCCAGGCAAGGAGCTCTGCAGAATTGAAGGTGCATGAGGCTGAGCTTGGTTCACAGGGCAGCTGAGGTAAGGCCAGGAAGGGTCCCCACCTGCCCAGCCTTCTCTGTTACCCTAGTCCAGCGGTGGCCAACATATGACACTCATGCTGTAGCCAGCTGTTATCACAGAAAGCTCTAAAAGGTTCACCCTTACTGCCCTAGTGCATCTCTCGGTCCCTGTTTTGTCTCTCTTAATTGGTCAAAGAGAGCTGACTAAAAAATTTTATGGATTTGTTTTATTTATTGAACTGTTTCTGTGTTTTCTGCTTGTACAAAAGTAGACAGGGGATGGGGTGTTTTCTATTCATCTAGAAAACAAATATATAGTAGTTTTTAAATATTACAGTTGATTGATTCCTACCACTGACCCCCAAAATCAGAAATTAGGGCCAGCAATAGAATAAAAGATTCCTCACCCTGACTCTCGCCAGGGCTCCTAGCCTGGAGCAAGAGGTCCTGCGGCCACTGTGGATGTGTGGGTGAGGGCAAGAAGCATGATGGCCACAGCATGCGAGGACATGGGTGCAGGTCAGGGTGGGTGGGATGGAGACCACAGTCAGCAACCACCCATCATGTGGCACCAGGCCTTTCCACCACTCTGCCTTTCCCCTCCCAAGAGAACTGCTCCCCAGAATCTGAGCCTTCCAGGGGTGTGACCCCTCCACACCTTTGCCTGTGCAGATCCCCCTGCCTGGCGTGCCTTGGCCACCTGTTTACCTGGTCAACACCTACCCACATGCTGAAGGCCTTCCTTATCCACAGAACCAGCTAGAATGGACTCCTCCTTCCTGCCTCACAGTGATTAGGGGTGGGGTCTCAGTCATCCTGGTTTCCCAGCACAGTGCTGGGCACACAATAGGCATCCATGCAACACATGTTGAAAGAATGAAGAGCATAAAATCTTTTGATCCCAACCTTATCAGGAAGATAACAAAGTGGCCCAATCTGGCCTTAACCCTGAGGTTTTCCCGCAGTCCTCCCACTTTTGCCTCCGCACATCTGCTCACTGGCCTGTAGCCCTGCAAGCTCTGCACAGCCACATCCCACCGCTCTCTACAGCGCCCCCTGGAGGAAGCTTTCCACGACTCCCTGTTCCAGTAGGAGGAAACCAGTCCTTCATCTGAGCTTCCAGCCACCTGAGCTGCGGAGACCTAAGGCCTCTTTTATGGCTGCTTCAGCAACCCCCACACCCAAGTTAGACACACAGACGATCACAACCCTCATAACCCACACTGCAAGCCAGCCCCTGCGGGAGGAACCTCCAAAACAACCATAGATTCAATCAGCAAGGAAGGCATCTCAGCCAAAACCAACACTGTGTGGGTCCCAAGGAGAGGGAAGAGTCAGAGCCCAGCCTTCCAGCACAGCAAGGCAGTGCGGGGCACAGGCAGTCACTCATCCGGCGACACGGGATGAAAACGTTACACTACCTTGTTGGCCAGTGTGACTCCGGGTCCATCTTCGCCTTTGCCAACACTTAGCTCTGACTGCTTGCAATTAGTATCTGAGAGGCAATCTAAAACAGCCAAGCTGCATTACGGAGAACCCCAGGAAAACTGCAGGGCACAGCTCATCTTGTGGAGAGCAGCTCAAATGCCAAAGGTTGGTTCCTTCACCTACTCAGCTGGGCCTCACCAAGGAAATAAGATCAAGAAAGTGGTGTTCGTCTTTAGCATTTATTTATAATTGGAAAAAAATTGTTTGTTTGTTTGTTTTCTGAGCAAGCACAGACCACAAGCACGTCACAATCAATTGGCTATACATGAATATTTTTGTCATTCTCTTACTAACAGCAGGAATGAAATAGCACCAAGAGAGGTGTGCCCTACACGTTACAATAGACAATCTGTGGTATGCAACAAAACCCAGGCCACAAAATTGTAATTAGACACTTCCTGTCTGCCTCGGTGAGGCACAGCCATATGGGCAGGATGGGGGCCCAGGCAGAGAACAGGAAGCTGGGGGAAGCCAGGGCATGGCTTTGGGGGAATCTTTGCAGGCAGGCCAAGCAGACAATGGGGAAAGTCTCCATCCTGGCCCTCTTGCCAGGAGAGTACAGAGAATCACAGGGCAATGTACAGAAGGTGCAGGACAGGCATTGAAGCTTGGTCACCTTGAGAAAGGTGAGGCCAAACACTGCTTAAGGAACCAAGGTCAGTCTCGTTCAGTCTGCTTGGTATACGGAACAAGGCTGGCTGAGTTATATTTGTAAACAGTAGAAATCAAAGGAAATTTCTTGTTAGTGAATTGACACATTCAAGAGTCAAAGTGACCTGCAAAAAAGCATTTTTCTGAGGTGGATGTGTGAAAAAGAAGAGGGCAATGACAGGGTGAGTAACACACTGTACAGATCATCTAACAGCTTAAACAAAGCAGGATAAGAAATCCAGTCGCTGGGGCTGTGAGGTGGGTGGGAAATGTGTGGGGCCTTTAGGAAACTATGATACAGACAATACCAGCTCGACTCAGTCACAGTGCACATGGGACTGTCATATGCATCCTTCTGGCTGTGTTTCTGTGGGGACATATTTATTTATACTGCCCACCAAGTCTAGCACAGTGCCTGGCATAAGGCATTCAAAACATGGATGCTGGCTGGATAATTTACTTGGTCTGCAAAATATGATTGTTCTATGGAGAAATTCAAGTTTTGGTTAACATCAACATGTTTGACTAATCCTGAATTTTGAGAGAATGATTATGCACTGGCAAATTCTTTGGATGTAGTTCAATCATGTTGATAAGAGTTTCTGATAAATGTTAAGATTAGCTAACAAGTAGTCAGAAACAGTACTGAGATCTACTCTAGATGTTTCCAGATAGGCATTCACAATTTGTCATTCATGAGCACTGAGAGTGGCTAACACTTTCCGCCTTCTTCAGCCTCCTTCTTCCTCATAGCCTGTGTGCTTAGATGGAAAGGAAGGAGGCAGCGAACCTGGTCATGCCCTTCATTGCTAGTCTTCCTGTTTTGTTAAAACCTGTGTGGCACACACTGAGTTAATTTGCAAAGACTTCTCAACCAGCCACAAAGTGACAAATTAGCATAAATGGACAGTAAGAATGAGAGAGAGCTTGTGGAGCTCTGCCCCCTTCAAACCAGAAGGGCCTGAAGGGACCTCAGAGGTAAGGAACTGAGGCTTTCAGCCTTCACCACTTTTACGACAAAAGGAAGCAAGCCTGAGCAGAGGTTGGACTTTGTACAACAGCTCAGCCATTCAGAATGCTGGAGGAGACAGGCAAAACAAGGCGTGCTGAGCAGTCTACACCTCACCTTCGCAAATATGATATTTTTGACAGACATCTTGCATTCCCTCACAAACACTGGGGATCTTTGCACAGCCACTCCTTGACTAATTCCTATGTAAGACGACTCTAGCAAAGCTAAGATGGCCCTTGCCTCCCCTGGGGGGCTTTGGCCACACAGGTGCACAACACAGAATACATTGAGAACTGCTGTTACTTGTCAATGAAGTCAAAAAAGCTTGCTGGTCACCTCGCAGGGCCCTCTCTCACCTTCAGCTAGGTCACAGAGACACCGGCCTGGAGCCCAGCACCACGGGCCTCTCAGTGAGGCAGAGCATTGCTACACTTGCCAGTCATTACATCTCTGTTCTACCTAAGTACCCTAACTCTGCACTGTGATTTTTCCTCCTCAAACTGTGCAACATGCTGAGGGTAGACAGAGGAGCACAGTCTCTGGGCTGGGACCACCCTCTGACATCTGCAAAGCCTAAAACACCCACCCTGTCACCACCCTGGCCTGGTCTCAGTCACCAGTGGCCTGTCTGTTACTTGGTATACAATTGAAAGCCCACTAATTGGAAACAAAACACAGACACACTCCTAGTAGAAGAGTCTAAGATTACTTAAAAGTTAACAGATACAAGTACAATGTATTGACGTTAAGGCCAGAGTTATTTTTTCTTTAAATATTTCCACAAAAGTTGTCAACTGATGAAGCCCACACTAAGCTTCCCTAGCGCACGATCACCCTCTGAACTTTGGGAAAGAATGTTTACCTAAAGCTCAAAATCAAAAAGGAACACAAACCTTGGGAGAAACGGGGAGAAGACCCTATAGCAGAGACTTCCAGGCTTGACCAGGAGATGTGCTCGGCACCAGCTGGGGCCTATCAGGGTGGGTACAGCCAGTGGGAGATGCTTTCTGGTGTCCCAGGGGCCCTGTGGCTGGAGCTGGGCCACCCTCAGGAGGAAGCAAGCCACTCAGTCTGTATCCTGAGTCTCAGGATTTGTCCACCAAAAGAAGCCAAACCAAAGAGCTCCTGGAACACTCAGAACCAAGGCAGAGGGAAAGTCTCTAATTAATTTTGTGGCCTTTTTTGTTAGTTGGAGTTGGAGAGAGAGAGAGGAAGGGAGGGAGAGAAAGAGAGAGAGAGAGAGAGAGAGAGAGAGAGAGAAGGAAAGTGCAGTGACATTTACTCTTTAGCCTCAGCCAGTTTATTGTTCATCTCTTTACTTTGCTCCTTGTCATCAGGTTTGGTGGCACTGGGGCCCTCCGTGCTCTTTTTCTTGGCAGCCTGGCCCGACACCACCTGCTTGTCTTTGGCCTTCCTTGGGGGCTTATGGCTCGCTGAGGTCTTTTTTGGTTTGGAACTCTGAATACTAGGTTTCTCCACCTGCATGGAGAGACAGACAGACAGACCGAAAATACACAAACACAAAAGGGAGGGAGGGGAGAAAGGATTCAGAGAGAAGACATTACAGTGTTAATGGAAGGGTAACAGCAGTGATACAGACTGACGCTGATGGGGCACAGTGTGGAAAGTGTTTTCAGGGACATTTGGGCACCCGCAATTCCCCTGTCGGAACACCCAGTTAGTCTTTTCGGCGACATTCTTTACTACTGCCACACAGGCTCCCTGCCCTGCCAGCCCTTCCCCCAGACCCCCACCCCCACCCCTGGCAAGCTCCATCCCTGTTCTGCAGTATCACTGTTCCCTCTGGGAAGATTACACCTTACCACCTCGCTCAGCTCAGCTTGCACATAGGTTACGATTTGCTGTAGTCAATGAAATGGAAGAAGGGACGTGGGTCACCTCCAGGCCCAAGATTCATGAGTCAGCCTGTGCTTCCCTTGTTCTCCCTCTTCTGCCCCAGAGGGACATGTCCAGGCTGATAGACAACAAAGGGCAGATCTGTGCACAGGTGTTTCTGGGAGGTGGCCCTGGTTAATGCCGGATACCAGGATTCCAGGATGGCTTACTGCTGTCTCCACCCAGCCTCTCCCTGTTTCTGTCTCTGGGATAAGGAGCACACATGGAGAAGAGTTCTCTCTGAGATGCTTTGGGCCTCCACCTCTTAGCCTCAGTAAGCCACAGGTACTGCCAACCAGGCCCTCCTGGCTGGCTGCCTTGCTGTTCCCCGGAGCAGCTGTTCTGAGCCCTCTCCATTTCCCCAGGCTCCCTCCTCAGCTCTGCCTCCCCAATTCTGAGACAGTAGCCCTGCCTTCTCCTTCTCAGAGAACTCTGGAGCCCCTGGGCATGATGGCTTGATATGCCACCCCTTCTACCCATCTCTAGATTTAATTTCCCCAAGATTTCTTCCTTTTTCCCCTGGATTTTTTTTTTTTTTTTTTTTTGTACCAGGGATTAAACTCAGGACCTTGTGCCTGAGACAAGGCGGCAGAACCACTGAGCTAAATCCCTGGCCCTTTTCCCTGGAATCTAAATGCCAAGCCCACATCCTGGATCTCACCTCAGCTGTAGATGGACAGAACTGACATTGGACCTTCTCCCTTGGGCCAATCACTAAGATCCAGGGGGTTTTCAGTCACCCCTGGACCTGCAAATAAGGTAACCAATGATCCCAGCTTGCCTAGAACAGAGAGGTTTTCTGGAACATGGAGCTTTCTGTGCTAAAACTCCAAGTATCCCAGGCAAACTGAGTCAGGGGGTTGCCTTAGGTGCAAATGGATTATGGCCTCATAGGAAACTCCACTTGAGTGCCAGGCTTTAAGGCAAAGGCACAGAAAGGGTGATTTAGGTTCTGGAGGTATTTAGGTTCTCAGGCATTTTCTACTATTACACATAGGATAGATAGTATGTGCCTGATTCTTTGTGGCTTGGCCTCATAGAACAACCTAGGCTCCTTGGGAATATGATTCCGGCCTCAATGGCTCTATCTCCAACATGCTTCTCCCACTCAGGAACTCAAACTGAAATGCAGATGAGGCAGGGCAGTGTTATTATGAGTAAGCCCCTGAATCCACTTTCACAAATTGTCTACTTGAGTAACAAATGACTGGGAACACACCTTGCAGCTGATGGGACAGGTGTGTTGTGACAGGCTTGAGCCTTGCTGGCAGATGATGTTTATCTAGGAATGAGTGAAAGTGGATGCCTTGTAGGGACTGAGGAGAGGGGCGGGGAAGGGTGCACTGGGTGGAGGAGGGAGCAGGCCAAATCAGGCCTGAGGCCCCCAGCCAGCCCTTCAGAGGCAGAAGCATGGCTATTTTAAGACAAGGGGATTTAGGGATCCAGTGAGGTTTTCTGATATTCTTTTTCTAGATTTCTCAAATGCAAGAGCTACTTCTCTGGAAATCTGCCAGCCTTCAAAAGCTTTTTTCATTGAGCTAATGTTCTTGTCTAACATTCTTTTGAATTAAACAACGATTCCTCTGGAAGATGCCTGTGGGTCTCAGGCTCAGTGTGCTCAAGAAGCAGGGAGCCCCATGGGGACTGGCCAGAGGGGCCCAGCTCAGTCTGCTGATCACCCTCCACCCCGGCTGTGCTAAGGGGTTGCCACAAGATCCGTCTCACCTTTGGGGGTTCCTTGAAAGGTTCACTATAGAGGCTGCGTATTCTTCTGCGTTCAATGACCTTATTGTCAGCTGTGGTTGGCTTATTGGCCTCCCCTTTGAACTGGGCGCTGTAGCTGGTCTCATGAACCATCTTGTCCTCTGGGGGCTTGTACTGGGGCTTGGCTTTTATTGGTTTCACAGGCTTGATGTCCGTCCATGCTCTGAATTCATTCCTATTAGTCAAAGAGAGCAAAAGTGGTCTGAAACAGTGGTGTTGCTAACCCTGGGTGCACATACTGCAAGCTCACCATCAGTGTTTGTGGTGCTGACTGGTGTAAGGCTGGGGAGTCAGTGTCGTCCTCATCACACAGGCGACTTCTCCCTCTTGTGGAGTGGACCCTGGTTATGGCAGTAGAGCCTTGGGGAGTGCTCGGGCTCCCTCCCAGCTCTGTACTGAATAATCATGGACAGGCCGTTCTCATCGCCAGGCTTCATTTTTCCCATCTCTAAAAAGAGGCTTAAAAACCCACCAAGCTGTTCATTCATGAGTTCAACAAAGACTGGATAGCTGCTGCATGCAAGGATGAAGAGTTGTGAGATTGGGTAGGACAATATACTTGGTCATTGTTGGCTATGTTGTGGCCTATCAATAAATGCCAATTCCTTTTACTATATATA